TTTTAATGACAAAGAATCATGAAAACCTACGCTGATTTATTATTAGCCAAGGTTCAAGTCATTAGTACCTCGCAATGATTCAACGTGTGTTGAGCCATTCATTAGTCTAACTAATTGCATGCAAAATGAGTCAGTTTGCAGATTTGGTTGATTCACTACTATAGTCGGCGAAAGTAGTTGTTGGCAATTATGATGCGACGAACCACGTCATGATGAACGACACACAAACACATATTTAAAACATTGTCCAGCTTCGAAGTTGCTATACAAAATATAATGTAAATACTTATTCTGTGTGTGTAGGGGTGGCTTAGAGTAAGTTGGTTTGTGTCCAATGCAATTATTTCTGTTATCAGTATAATCAAACCTTAAATCAAAATAAAGGACTTGTTACACTTGTGTAAAATGTCATTGAGACAGCCAAAGTGATCCACGCCCAGTTCATAATTTTCCCTTGACTGACCGACTGTCACATTTTATTAATTTAGAGATAATGCATACGGAAGTTTGGGTACACTTTTCTGGTTGTGATCCAATATGTAAATAAGTATATTATTATATTATGTGATATTATGGATTATGCATGTACATATAAACCACATATTTGAACCATTTTCTTGTTTTTAGGAAAATAATACAGGAAAATTAGTCGCCTACTTTGTCGTATCGATACGGGTACACGCACATGTAAAAATATAACTATATTTTTAGACAGACCCATGGGCTAATAAACCAAAAGCACCAGAAATACCAGAAAGTGTCGTGCAAGTTGTAACCCCGCAAATGTCAGAGGAACAAGTCTCTGATTTGTAAATAAGCATACAGTATTAACAATAATCTTCCAATTTCAATTAAGTAAGTTGTTACATAAACTATTATAAAATAAGAAATTCTGCATAAATTCTAAATATGGGCATGTACGCATATATGTAGTTATGCACTAACAACGTAATGAAAGTCAACGAATTGAAAAGTGAAACGCACAACTTGTTCCATCATTTGCTAAAACATATACAAAATCATGGCGAGGTGGTCAGTTACAAATGTTTTACTCGTCAAATATTAAAATGAGTGTTCCTTTTATTTCGCAATAAAAAGTGCAAACTGCACATGACGCAACCATAAAATACGGCCATTTCTGCCACTTGAATGCTCAATGTTTTTGGAAAGGAAGTGAATAATGCAAAAGCAGGAAAAACTATCACGTATCGATTGCTAGCTGTCTGTTCGTACAGGTCTTTGGCCTACGAATTCGAGCATCGTCTCAAGTGACATTTTATAGCCAGTGACCAGGAAATAAAGGATCGAGACAGTAAATTTGACACGTTTTGTACTGCAGGATAATTAAGGCCATGCATTAAATAAATAATCGAATCGTTTTGTCCAATATTATAAATAAATAATCACAACAATAATAAACTTTTACCTATTCCATAGCTTTTCAACAGTAGATATTTTATTCAATGTCTCTCTTGTGAATTTCTTGTGATTAAAAATACCCACAATTCATAGAATACTGTTGAACAGTATGTAACGCTTAGCAATTTTAGGAGTTTCACGTGCATGCAATAAGAGGAAGAGTAGTTTATATGTACATATGTAACTGACATCTAGTCAGTCGTCAACAAGGTTCAAATAGAATTGTATGTTTGACCAAACTTACAATGAGGACATGCATGAATTATGTAAAACATGCAAATGGAAGCGATTGTCGCAGGTTAAATAAAAGCACCATTCGAGCCATTATTCGATATTCGGTAGCGATATTCTTGTATCTGTCTGATTTCTATTATCTTAAGAACTTGTTTTACACGTGATATCAGAAGTAATGACAAAATTGCATTCCTGTCATTTTGGGATTGCATTTCATTTATTTCCCTTAAAAAACTATTATGCTCAAATAATGCAAGCCCCTGAAATCATAAAACATTATTGTTTTAAAAATATTTTCAAATTACTGATATTTCATAATATTAGACTTATCCTATTATATAAAAGTAATGATGAAATGGCGAAACATAAATCAAAAATATAATTAAAGCACGTCTCCATCAGCTAAAATCACAATTGAAAATGACAAATTGTTATTGAGTAATAACAACCGAGAGTCAATTACTTGATGCAACTTGAATTGTAATAAACAAAATATAAACGTTTTTATTCGATTATTGGGAGTGTGTACTTATGGATAATTAAATTTAATAAAAGTATTCAATTTATGCACTTCGTGGACCCTGAACGAAGGACCCGTAAAATTTTCCTTAACATTTCTGTTATTAGTTTACTGGTACAATTACAGAGGTTCTATCCTGACAATGGACATACATAAATAAATATGTATGCATACGTAAGTAGGCAAGGTTGCTGTAATCTCAGCAGAATGTATTACCTAAGCCACATCAATTTTCCGCAGGATGCTCAAAGATGAAAGCTTCTTTCCGGTATTACTGCGGAAGAAGTCAAATCGATTTTGATGTTTTAATCCTATTACGTTGCATAAATGTTGTGTATGCGTGTTCAGTGAAAGCTTTCCATTTCAATCTCAATCTAGCAGAGAGATAAATGCATTTCTGCTTCAGCTCAAACCTGGCCCTGTATTTCAGAGATACGTATAAACGAATATAAAATGTACATTAACATACATACACGTTTAAAGGTTGTTCAGTTTGGCTGACTTTATGTTGAGCTACCAGAAATGAATCATGTATCACACAAACTTTGCTAACCATCCCATTTTCATCGCTGCAGATTAATGTGCACCTTGATGTTGTTAATGGAATATCAAAGACAGAAATGAGTTTTTAAATGGATTTTGTATACCTTAGACTCTGATACATCGTATTAATCCTAACAAAATAATCGACTAATACACTCGGAAGCTGAATGCCTCAAAGGATTTGTTTGAATAATAACATGTTGAAAACTTTGTGCAAGACAATGAGTGATCATACAGGAGTAACAAGAAAAAATTTAGAGGATAACTCAATCTACAACGCCTAAGTTTCAGGGTCGTATTATCAGTCAAATTTTAAATGAGTAAGTAGCGATTGACAGAATTGGAATAAAAATAAAATGTGAATTAATCGTCATCATAAATCAATTGAGAAGCAAATGTTGTTAAAGAAATAGAGCACAGTTTAGAAGTAATTAAGGAAATATAATAATAATAATAGTGACGGCCACACAAAGGGAGCCATGAACTGACCATAAACGATAACAATATCCAAATGTAATCCATGCAACTTCAATTACAGTTCATGACCAACAAAAATTTCACTTGTTCAATTGATTTGACTTGATAAGGTTAAATCATTCACGCCTTAGTCTCTTGAGTAGAGTTTGCCTGTGTGTTTTTACAACCAAGCAATTTGTTACGCTGATACCAGAACAAAACAGGAGGCTCGATAGCTTTGATTTATATGATGCACTATACTACGTATGCACTTATTTAGATATGTACATATCTCTGTGGTGCAGTGTTTTGCTAAACTCCTGGGATTGATAGTAGCCGTTTGTTCTGTTTGGTTGGTTATTATTGTTGATACTGAAATAAAAAGTACTTGATTGTATGCAAGTCCAGCAGAAATATGAATTTTTCAGTATTGATATTGTGCAATAACTACATAAGTACAGAGAGTACTACATAACTAACTACTTATTATTACAATGCCTAAAATTTTTGCAGATGCAAATTTCGGATGAGAATCGTAAACATAAAATTGATGTTTGTTATAACAATTCACTACTCATCCTCTCCTTAGTCAATAATTTCAAATTGTGTGAAAGTTGCTGAACATGAAGAGGTGTGAACGTGTGATTAGTTCACAAACGCTTGGTGTTTATTACAACTAGCACATCTACGCCATTATCAAACTTAGCAGTAGATTAAAATGTTACTACGCATATTCTCACAATCGTGGAAAAATTGACAGGAAAGATGACCTCATAATTATTTGTATCAATTTACTTACTATTATTCACTGTCAAGCTAATTTATCATGTGAATATTCCAGATTACATAACTGCCCCAAATTAATATAATTTTTGTTATGTGGAATATCATTCATGTGCTACATTAAACTTCTAAAAGTGAACGTTTTCTTAGGTTGCCCACATGTATGTGCACCTTCGGCCCTAAGTATATAGCACAACAATTTGTGGTAAAATGTTTTTGCCTTATCGAATACTAAACTATATATGTAGTTTGATGCATTTTATGAAAACTGATTTATTATGATAAGGAAAACACAGCAAGAGACAGAATATTATTTGTAGGATTTAAATAAAAAAAGTCACCATCATGGCGTGAATGGCATGTCATGTCAGGACTGTGCATACTTTGAATAATTTGATGAAGGAGGAAGGCGATAATTGCAATTGTGACAATTGAATGCTTCTCAATCTTCAATACGATGAACTAACAAAACCACCACCGATCAATAATGCGTTTAAATAAATTTATGCACGGTTCAATGAAACAAATTTCTATTCCATAATTTGGTTATTTTGTTGTGTAGGAATCGAATGTTTGCATAATTTTGATTGTAATTTGATAAAAAAATGTGCCGTATTTACTATCCTTTGGCCAAGTTGAGATATGTACATCCATAATTTTAGAATTGCAGGAAAGGTGAACACAAAAATATGAACGTGCGTTTGAATATGTATTCGCTTTACTCGCGTCGCATGCCGTCGTCCCGTCTTGCATGCAAGTTGAGAAAAGTGAAACAAAATATAAAAGAGTGTAATTGCATGAAGATGATCATAACGATTTGTAGAATGCAAGCCTAATATTCATAATTGTGCATTTATTCACCAAATAAATAAGCGGTTCTTTCTGTAGGTTTACGTTCAATGCAAATATTTTTGCCAGATTAAGTACACAACCCATAATTATTTCACAAGTATTCGGCTAATTGCATTTGACAAAGACGACAAGAAAACTTTTTTGCATGAAAATAATTTCTACATTTTGAGTATATTAACAAACCATTCCTTACTTTTCAGGAATGTCTTCTTCATTGGGCGAGTCCTCAGCCAATTCAGTTTCGTCACTCATTTTGATGAGTTATCAGGTCAGCGGTTGGATTTTTTGTTCAACGATTATTACGTGTAACTTCTTCACACTTTGTGCACTTTTTTAAATTTTAATAATAAACCAATGTTTTTGTATATTTTTATCAACACGAGAGTAATTTGCCGGTAAAAAGTCTGTTTATGATGGACGACACCAATCAAGAAAAGGAAAATGCTTTTCAAAAAAGATGACAATTTTGATGAGTTTAATTTGAGAGAGTTGAGGTTGAATATATTGTTGACGATGGTGAGAGTGGTGTTCAAGTCGTGCGACACTGGCTTGAGACGAGACTCTGCTAAAATAAAGCAGCAGCAGCCAACTGTCGCTCCTGGTGCTGTGGTATGTATTTGCTTAATGGGAATGAGACTATGAAAACCTTAGCTCAAGAGCATAACACAGGTAGCGAATCAATGTGGACGACTGCAAAAGAGAAGGAAAGTAAGTCTGTATTTAAGCTTTTAATTAAATCTGTGCTAGTTACTGCCGAGTCAGTTTTACAATCCTGTGGGCAATTAAAGAAACTCTTTTGTTGCACGCGTGCACGCTGAATGCACTCTGTGTTCACTTCTTGATTCAATTAGCCGTAGTCTCAACTAATGAGAATTTGTGTGTTTGCTTTAAATCAGACTTGCAGGTATTTGCAGACCTTGCGAGTTTCGTTTCTGAGGACGACAGAAACTTCTCCTCTTTCCAGTGTTATTTCCAGTGTTATCCTCGCAATTCCCTTGAGGTGACCGAGAAGCATGAGACAGTACAACTTTCGCTTGGAAAATGTTTGGATGGAAAAAAAGTAGAACGCGTTGATTTTGAATCTTTCCGAAATCCGAAAATGATTGAAAAGTAAATCTTGATTTCTGAAGTTTGCGATCCGAAAAGCGGTTCGTCGTGGTGGAGAGCTGTTGAATGAAAGAAGAGAAGCCAAGCCAGCCCAACTAACAACGCAAGGGAAGAAAGAACCCAGCACTACGGCGGAAATAGGGACACATGTAATAATACATTATTTTCCCTTCGACTCTTTCGGATCCCTCTGACTCACTTCACTCTAGGTTTGGATGGTTTGTTCATTGGCAACCCTATTTTACTTTCTGCTCTTCTGCATGCATGTCTACGAGGACAAGGATTGCATCAGGGTAGGTTAGCAGGCAGAGAACCATTGTTACAGGAAATAATGAACCCATGAAAGGTTGCCTTTAAAAGCATTCATTTCAGCCGTGGCAGTTTCCCTTTGCTGCTTCTCCATCTCTTTTCCCGCAGCAGAAACAGAGGATGGAATGGAAAGTAAGTGAGGGTAGTAAGTGAGTTAGCAGGCAGAGCAAATAGATTGGTTTTAGTTTCGGATGGAAAATGGAAATAAATGTTCAACTACGACTGCCTGAGAACAGGCGGTAGTAAAACGAGGGTGTTCACAATGTGTTCCATTTCAGCGTTTCGATACTCGTCCCCGTCATTTCACCGTGCTTCCACCGAGTCTTACTTTTCTACAGGGATGTACACATACATAGACAAATATATCTCCATGATTGTCGTCGTACGAAGAAGTTGACCATCAGAGGACTAAAAAATGTGGCATATGTACATACATACGAGGGCTCAGCGCACAACCCACGCGGAATGAACGAGGGGAAGTGGGATCTGTTGTGGGGAATGTTGTTCTTGAGATTGTAAATACTTTATTGTAATACTTGACTACCAGACGTTGTTGGAGTTTCAGGCTAATTTCGTGGATCCTTAAACCAGTTCATAGAATGCTTGCGAGTACAAGAGGAAATAGGGGGGAAGCACTCACTCGACGTTACAGGAAGGAAGGGGAATGCAAGAAGTGGGGGCTGCAGCTAGATTTGGGATTCGGGAAGGGTCAAGCAGAATCATTCGTCTAAAGAGTCATTTCATTTTCATTGCAGTTGGAGAAACGGGGCTTCTACAACTTTATGGAGTGGAGTAGTAAAAGCCAGTTTATTGACGAGTAGCCAGGTGAAGAAATTCCGGTCATCTCGTCCATACAACGACCACCACTTGACCACTACTAACACAGTGTAATTTATACTGTCATTTGGCTTGTGATCACTTAAAAGAAAAAGTTTGCTTAATTAAATTTGATGCTAAAAAAACTAAACCTTAGGGGCACACATATTTATGTACATGCATGCATACTAAAGATAAGTATCTCGTAGATAATAATAACTTTGCTCTGAATTAAATATTGGTCTCTAAACTAAAACCGTTGTTGGTTCGGAGTCTTAGCTTAACTCAAGCTGATTTGGGTCACACTTTGGCGTTCACTATTCAATAACGATAATTAACGTCATCGTTTGTTCAGATAATTAATCGGAAACAATGGTTGGTTTAATAATGTCCATCATCATTATTAAAAATGTAGGTGTGTTGAAACATCCTAAATTTTTAACGTTTAAGTCACCACAAAAATATATTGTAAACAAAATTAGACGAAATTTCCATCACCTGTATGTATACGAATGAAATGCTTTAAATCCTACTGAATAGAAAAACAATCCCGTTTTAACTCTCACATTACACCGCAATATATCTTGAAAACATTTATCATCTTTTAATGGGCCTCTAACAGCTAGATTTCTCCTTGGTTGAAGAGGAAAGCGAAGGACAATAAATAAATCGAGTGGAAAGATTACTTCCCAGCTCTGCTGAAGAGCAGGATAATTCCAAGTCAGTAATGCAATCGGTAGTGTAATCTTTTCCGTGGACTTGGGTACACATAGGTACAGGATGTTTCAATTGCAGGCTACCTATTGTGTGACGAATGCATATTTGATTGGTTTCGGTGATTATAGGAGCCAGGTAACCTATTTTTAATCGGAAAGTTATCAGAGGACCGGCCTTCAGACGTCGTCTTTGAGCATTATGAAAAAAATCATTGGACATCTTCGTCTAATATAATCCTCTACAATACTATGTAGCCATGCATATTCTACATAGTAGGAGATTAGTATCCCGGGGTATAATTTTTATGTAGGGAAAGCATTATGCCGGGAGAACATCGTCGTTGACCTACAACCCAGCTCATTCTACCAAATCCACCGACAAAAAAGCACTCCAAGTCCAACTCCAGCATTTCCGTTCTCTTGGATCTTCTACTCAAGTGGGAAGTAGAAAGGTATTGAAATAATAAACAAGACTTCCATCAGAAACCAAAAGAGGAATGAAAACAAGCCGAACCGAGAGCCAAGCGAGTACAATTTAAATTCTGGCAAACATGACTAAATGAAAATCGGAAATTTCTCTTGTTATGTATGTAACGTATTGCCAAAAAGTGGCGTGTTTTCCCATTGGACTCGTACTACAAAAGATTCCAGATAGCGAGAAAGCGAGCAAAGCTTCTTTCTTTGCCACGCAGAACGAAAAATCCAGAATAAATTAATTTCAATCTGTAAGAATTAAATTACTTTGGATTCCATTTCCTTCTCATCTTTACACACTCGGTTACACACCAAAGGCTCTCAAAAATTTATTTATATCACTTAAGTTAAAAACGCAAGTCTCAATTTTATTTAATGAATTGTGAATGTCGCATATTTTTTATTTCTGTTGATGAACTAAATAACTCAAAGTATGAAACAGTAGAATTTTCAAAAAGAGCTATCATATTACCTCATGCCAAATTATTCTTTTGCAAGTAAAATACAATATGAGCGGAGCTCAGAGAGGGAAAATTTATATTTTATTATTCCTTGATCAGTCGAGCAAACGGTATATTTCGTGTCTAACACGAGTCTACATATATGATCTCAAGTCATCACTCTAAGAGATGAAAGTCAAAGAATAGAGGGATGAATTTACTGTGAAAATTCGTTGCAGTCAGAAAACGGAAGTACGGTGTTCTCTTATATGTTTTGTTTTACATAAGCAAATGAAATCGAAATGTACCTCGAAAGAAACTCATTTCGCTTTCTTCAAAAGGAAAGCATATATTTCTAGGAAGAATGAACTACATTTTTATTTATAAGGAAAGCTTATAAAACTCACATCTGCGTGCCAAGCCGCAAAAATTGACTAATAGAAACTTGGTTGAAGTTCATATGACGAATCTTGTATCCCAAAAAACCGCTAATCATTATTTGCTTAGAGTTCATACATACTACTGCTCAAAGAAAAAGTAATAAATTTCTCATGCTGTTATAATATCGTCCTCGTTAGGAAAATGATCGGATTAATATTATCATCTCGTTATCTTTCATCCGTGAAATCTGCTCTAATGAACTGATTTAAATATTTCGGCTCACTTTGAGAGGAATTTATGTCGTACTTATTATGACCTTATTGCATTTTCTATGATATAGGAAATTTTGCATCCTCACGCTATTTTACTCCTCCAAATCCTTGGGCTAATCAGCTAATAAATCGTAATAAACATGCAACGGAACAAACGTGGGATAGATTGATCCACTTCCTCTACAAAAATAGAACTGAAGGTGTGTCCATGATTCCAACGCAAATTGCTTCCAAAGGCCCCATTTCCTCCAAACTGTCTGAGGTGTATCGATTACAGATATCGATTTACAGGTTTATAATGGAAGGGATGCTGTTAGGGGGACACCTCAACTCGCAGAGATAAAGTTGCATTCAGTTGCAGAGGAGCAAGTCATCGTACAAGTGAGATTAACAACCAACCTGACACCTTGATTACCTCAGTGTTCATATTATTCTCGTGAAATTATATCTGACACCTCTGTCAAAGAGCATTTCTTGAGAACATGTAGAATGCATAATAATGACATGAAACGACTTACTTGTCTTGCTCCTTCGTGAACTCGAGAGACGAAGATACTTCTGTCCCTTCATATGCACCAGCCGCATAACGATCCTTCTGGGAAAACATTAAACCAAAAAATGACGCTATATAAACACAAATTATAGGCTTCGTTAACTCTGGAACAACAATGGAAAAACTATTTTTTAATCGTAAAAATGCAATCTTCAACGTTTAGTCGTATGATAAAATAATTGGTCCAAGAAAAGATTCCTGCTGTGAGCAATATCGGTTGTTCTCACGAAATGCACTCAGCCTTGCGACTGTGACTACAAAATGATTAAAGCCGTCCGCTTTTGCACCACACACGAGGAGGAGATTCATATACGCTATGATGATGATAATAATTGCGTCTTTGGGGATTTCGCACGAGAAGTCGGTCTACCAAATCAGAATTTTAAAGGCGAGGGTTGCAAATCACTCACTTGTAGAGCATGATGAAGGGGGTTTTGGCTGTATATCACACAGTGGTGTCATTCTGCACCCCGCCCCTTCAAAGCAACGGCTGAGTCGCCCTTATTTTCAAAAACTATTTTAAACCATTCAACAAGTATGTAACACGAGAGTATTTGTCTGCGATGTGTGAATTGATTTGACTAATAAAAAATAGTAGCTCTCAATATCTACTTGCATATGTATGTTACACTTACCTACGCATCCTCGGCATACTGATTCGCGTCAATTGTAGGTTGACTAGTCTGTGAAATTACCAGTAGGTTTGATGCAGATGATGCTTGTCGTTAAAACAGAAAAGCCAATGAATTCTAAGAATTTAAATTAGCAGAGCCAATTTAGTCTTTACGTTACACAAATATCAATATCTTCTTGATGATAAACATCTTATCTACAAGCGAATTGATGTAATTTTAATCTGAATTAAACCCTATTTCGCCAACTGAATTACTTGTTCTAAATTAAAAAATGATTGAAATATTATCACACAAGATCAATTACAGAGTTACTCATAGTAAATAGGCGTAGGCATCCACAATGAGACTGAATAAATTGAATTATCGCACGCTTGAAAGATTTCGTACACGAATTTGATTTGATTAAACAGTAAAAGAATAAAAAAGAAATCTAGCCGTTTTTGTCCTGAAACACGTAATAGGTGTCCTTTCGTTGTCAGCAATCACTTTCTATCCTTTTCTCATCAAACAAACGCACGTGGAGCACTTTCCATTCCAAAGTTTACTTAAATATACCTTCTCGCTATCCATAATGCAGTCATAAAAATTATTATTGAATGTTTGAACAAAACGCAAATAAGATGATTTGATCAAATCATGCCAGAATATGTAACCAAACATCAAGTGCATTCACATTGGATGACATGAAGGTGGTATCATCACATTGTCGTTTGTGAAACCTCGTATGTGCAATGCCATTGTTGCCCGCTATTCATCCAGTAGAGTTAATTATTTCCTAATTTCATTTATCGCCCAATACCAGTAATTTGTAATTCATTATTTTTCGTAATAATGCACAAAAATAAGTCGACAAAGTTTTAAGTAATTTTTTTATTACTTCAAATTGTTGTTTTTATACACAATCTAGTTTTCAGCTATCATGAACAAGGTGTATTGTATAATATTATAATTATTATTGTTTCATTTAATCGCTTATGTACACATTCTAAATTTATGAGCATGAAAAGAACACTAGCGAACCCCAACTCTTTGTTATTGCAATTTGTCAACTCCTCAGTTACCCCTCATGAGCATTCCCTATTTGTTTTATTGGTAATGTTATTAATATTCGGTCAGTAGTTATTAATTTTCAACAGTGGTTCTTAATTTTTATAATTTAAATGGGAGAAGGACTAAATATTGTATATTTATGTTTGTTATTGTAATCATGACTTTTCAGTTTGTTTGCAAAGTATTATTATTACGCTAGTTTACAAGTTTCTTATAAATATGCAATTATATAATTTACTTGATTAAAGCTTTCATCTATTTTTAAATGTTTTGCATAGTTCAGCTACAGCCTTACGTTACGTATGGGACACAAAGATTTGATTATAAAGTTTGTGTTTTTAGTAATGGTTGGTTAGTGGTAGTTAGTGGTTCAAATAATTCAATTCAACACGTCCCCTTTGGAACTCTATCATCATGAAGAAGTGTACAGCCCGACGTCAAAGGAATGGGCTAAAATGACACCAAAAAGGTCTCACAATTGGACTTGTACAAGTCTACATACAAAAATGGACTTCCAAGTGTCAAACTTGAAACACGAAAGAGTAATAAGATCCATCAGACATCGAGTCCTCTCAAATAATTATATTGATAAATAAAATGGTAATAAAGCTATACTAATTTTGTAGTTTGGAATACAATTTTGGTATAATTTGCAATAAAAGTAAGATTGGGTTGATCTTGACCTTAAAAAGGTTAGATGACTAGGAAAGTCTACAATGCACTTTATTTAATTGACTAAATATAAATGAATCCCCTTCGTTGATTGTAAATGCAAGAGGTGAACATTAGAAAAGTGCATCTGCTATATACGTACAGATAATACTTTTAATGAGTTTACGAGACATGATTTTGAGGCTCTCCAGACGGAAGAATTGGTCGGTCGTGGTGGTGATTGTTCTGATCCGCATGTTCAGACTGATCAGGAGGTGGGTAGACAATGCTGTCGTCTTTCGGCGGTCGAGATGGAAGATATCGGACAGCCATTGCGACAAAGATAACCGAGACAATTATGACACATGACACTAGACCTAAATGTTGCAAAAAGAGCCAATTGTAAATAAATTTCGTCTAATGTATGAAATGGCTTATTTAGCCGACTTACCCATAACGAGGGCTGTGGTGTTAGAGGTTGAATCTCGCTGTTCTGGGCCCAGCCCTTTTACAATACCGGGCTTCTCTTCATTAATTTTTGACCCGTTGGAATTATCTTTCACTGAACAGTTGCTGTCACGCCAGCCTGGGAAACAGTGACAGTGGTAATTTGTCGTGCACTCCCCTTGACCCGAACACTCCAATCCGTTGTTCCCCTTGGGGCAAGAATTTCGAGTACTAACGAATTCTCTCACTGCGGTACATGACTGGTTTACGCATATCTAAATTGAACACGAACCACGTTTGAGCGTTTTAGTTTAGTTTTACAAATTAGGAATATTTTGACAAAACAGGGCTTACGTAACCCGATCCACACTTTGAAGAATCCCTCATTGGCTCTGATTCTAAAAGAAGGAAAGGCGACATTTCAAATGGATATAAATTAATAATAAAATTAATTTAAAGTTTTGTAGTGTTTCGGAACCTGAGGAGGTCCTCCAAGAATCTTGACACGGTTGATCAAAAGATTTGCAAAGACCTGCAATACAAATCCCTCTCCCAAATTCCCCCACGCAATTAGCACCTGCAAGTTTTCATGATCATTATGATAATTTCCCTTGTTTTTAATGAGACAGAATGTAAAATTAAGAACCATTTCTTTTGTAGGAAGTTGCAGAACATGATCCGCGGTCTCCTGAACAGTATTCTGAAATTCCACAGTCGTGGGTGGCTATTTGACAAACGCTCCCTTTCGATTTGAACTAGTTCATTGTTTTAAAAAAAATAAAATTATTTTAAATATTGTGCTGTTTGTACGGACTTTTTCAAGATGGGCATTTTGGGCTTTTTCAAGAAGTGTTACCTTGCAATTTTCGTCGCAGCACGGTTCGCGACTAGAGCACTGCGCGTGCAGCTTAAACTGACAATTTGTTTGACAACAAGAATCTTCGCGACATTTTTGGGCTACGGGTCCACAATCGCACTCTTCACCCAAGTCTGTACAAAATCATTGTAGGGTTAATAAACTAGTTTATTAGTAGCGAGTACGAATTGTAACGCGATATTGACGCGAATTTGCAGTGGTTTTCGTTAAGAGAAAGTCTGAACTTAATAAACTTGGGTTAGCGACCACAACCAGTCAGATAAAGTTTTAAGAAATTTTCATGTATCGTACTCCAATAATATTTGTTAATTATAATTGTAAAATATCATTAGTTAGTAAAAGTGTGGTCACTAGGCTGGCTGATTTAGAATTCTCGGGAAAGAGAAAGCAAAGAAACGCTAATTTAACTGATGAACTAATTAAGCTGAGGGTTATTATCGCCGTGTTTAATTAATTTATGTCTGGTAGTAAAATGGGTTCATTTAAAGCTACTTTAAACCGAAAGATTTCTAAGGTAGGTATTTTTTGACTTTCAACGTATGAAGATAATGTTTGAACTTACCAACAACTCCATTTCCACAATTTTTTAAGTTTATGTGCACTGAAATAAATTAGAAATATCTCAAAATATTTTAATCTGGACCAAAAACGTACCAAGAGAGATAATTTTAACTGGAGGTTAGCACTAACCACTTGGATTGGCATCTTCTGCTACGTAATCTGTAAATGGAATACAATACGTTATAACGAGTGCACGATAGTAGGGAATAAATTGAACAAAGGACACCGAAAGAAAAGAATACCGAGTAGATTGATCTGAATAACTAACCGGGAAAATTGCCACTACTCGAATCAAGTTACAAATTGAGATGTATGTACGAGGTCTTACCGGGCAATGTTCCCACAGCGCATGAAGAAAGTCCCAAAATTCCAATAGTGAGAATATATCTTAACTGACACATTTTGAGATTTATTTAGTGTTCCGGTAACGCGATGGCTAAGAGTTAACGGTAAAGTGGGATGTCCAGATAAAAATTGGGATCGTATAGTGCAAAGGGGATGAGAGAGTGATCTTTCACCTTGGCTTTAACGGTGCCTGTGATATCATGAAGTTGCCTGTAAGTGAAAAATCGAACGGCCCAGTGGTGCAAAGCTATGTCCACCGAGTGGTGGCTGTATGTGTGTGATAAGGAACAACTCTTCAGAGAGGAACTTTCACTCGGTGGTGAAAGTGTAATGTTTTACCTTGTCTTTGATCGTCTCCCGTTTGTGGGGCGCTCACTCATTCAACCAACTCGTATCTTCTCGTCCCCCATCGTGTATGACCATCCATAGTCCACTTCTCCAGCAGCCATTCTGCGCATCCCGGTCCACAAATTTAATCCATGGATGACTGCCAATCCTCCCTCCCTCACTCCTCGTAAGTAAGTGAAAGCAAGAAAGTCAAAAGGATGGTAAACAGCATTCGCATACCACCACCCGACCAGCAGCCTCGTCTCCTCTCGCTCCTCTCCCATGCCTCACTCTCATTTTCTGAATAAGTCCCTAATAACACTTTCTCTCCCTTCATTGGCCCACAGCAGGGAGACAAGAAGGCACCTTTGTGATCCTAGCCCAGGGTGATTGATCAGGCATGATCAGGCATCAACTAATTGCATAATCATGCAAGTAGCTCTAAAACATTAAGATTGTCTGTGTCGTGGGTTGAGTGAATTACCCCGACAACGTGTTATCATTATTTCATGTCTAAATATGTATGTCTGTAAATTTTACAATGTCTGAGAATTTTTTTTGAGTAATTGGTGTCATTTTTTTTAGAGTCTGAATCAGAGAGTCAGTAGGGTCATTATTTCATGTACGTATGTCAAGTTAGTACTTATGCATGATTACTGATGCCCGATGTATGTACTCTAAAGTAATAAAGCCAAGTTTATAAGTTGATCAACACAAGTCGTTGTTCAAAAGTATATTTCGGAAGACATAAGTCGTCGCCCGAAACAGTCTGCATTTAGTGCACGGATATGTGTATGAATGGTCGGGCTATATTATACGCTCCCATAAGAATAAAGAAATTAACTGATTTTCATAAATCGTCAACACTTTTATTCTACATTAATACGAGCACATGTGTCACTTGCCATTAATTCAATTATTGGCTTTAATCTGTAGCGTTTAAAAATATATATAGACTATCATATCATAATTACGACAATTTCCATGATCCAATGGAGTAGTAAAAACATTTCTCATATTACCTTCATAGTTTTAGTGACAATACGCATAATCACTTAACCATTAAACATGGTAATTTTATTCTGCGGAATTTAAGAGAATTTTTTTAAAGTGTGAATGCGTTCACAACAAAGACATCAATTATCTATTCTTATCCATTTTAAAATTCAATGTCAGAAAACTTAATTAACCGACGGTATCATATAAAAACTAACTTATTAGACATATAAACGTGCTATAATTTCAATCACATTTTTCCAACCTGATGACTATAAAATGGTGCTGATTTTCACGTGGCAGTAAAAACATTGAGTAATCTCAGAAACTGAGTATGTGTATACTAAATAGAGCTACACGCATGTATGTACATGTGTACACACAGCAGCAACGAAAGGTCATTTAACTATGTTACATATGTGAGTGTACAAACTGAAAGATGTGCAAATTCCAGGCAAGTCAAACGTGTTAATAATACAAGTTAACATATTATATGAATAGCCAATACTGAGTATATATGTAAGTACTGTCTCGTGAATACAAGTTACAAGCGTGCTAAATATTTGAGCGTGTCTAAACGGAGGGCCGGAGGGGAATAAGTTGAGGGGACGATTTTGGAGAAAGTTGTCATATTTAGTAGAGGAGTACAGACTATTTATCATATACGCGACTACCAGATATATAAATACATAGGTGTATGTTAAAGTAGGTTTTGATCACAAAAAGTGGTTAGCCTGGAGGTTGCTGGTACAAGATAACTTAATTCCAGAACTTTTTTCTTGTAACTGAAACCTAGCGATGACCGGAAGGTAGAGAAAGTTTTGAGTGGAATCAGTAAGTACCCAGCAGTGTAGTTGTACAATATTTATCAACAATTTGATAACTTATTCTAGTGTAACTTGGCAGATCTCTTTTTCATGCCTAAGGGTATCCCATGTGAGAGAGTCAATGTTTATATTCTGGAAAACGTTGAGGATGTAAATGCTTGAAAGGACCCGAGCCTGTCAAAAAATCAAGGAAATGTGAATACTGACATTGAAGAACTATCTACATATTTATTTACCCACTAACTAAATAACCACCAACCTCCCCAGCATGTGAATCCTATGCTTCTTACTATACTCCTCTTAAAATATGAATTCATGTTCATGTTCCCTGATGGCTTTTTCGAAATGTTTTTGAGAGAAAACCTTTTTTCATCACATTGTAGTATTGTGTAATTGCTAGCAGAATTAAAATAAATATTCTAGTTAATTTGATTATTATGATTACAGTGATTATTATATGTACATTACATATTTGAACGGATCGAATTGACAGTTGATCAAATTGACTATTGATTATCCCTGTTTAAAGCTATGGGTTTACGCTTGCTTGCTGATATATTTATACGCATACATACAGAGTATATTCAGAGTAATTGACATTTGCCGTAAAAATTCATACATCCAACATCATTATCTCTACACATCGGTACACAAGAACTAAATACACGACAAAGGTTAATGTGTAAGTGTACATATTTTTAATAACAAATGACAATTTACTGCTTATTCCCCCCATTAACTTGTCTATCATTTCGTTGGTGATACATGTTTGGATTCGCATAGCGGTTTAGGTGGACTTGCATTGGAATACCATTTAAATGGAGAGGAGACTGCGATCCAAACGATTCGTCGGAAGGGTTGTACAAATGCTTCAAATTTCTTGGCGTCAAGGATCTGGAGACTTGGGTTCGTTCCTCCTCATCTTCGCTCGTTGAAGTGTGAAGCATATTTTGCTGATTACTGTTGAACAATAAAACAATATTATTTAACAAATCACAAAATTATTTTGTAAGTCGATTGTATTGTGATGACCAACTGGTGCTAAATACTACACTACATGGTACAACTATATATTAATATATATATGTAGGCTAAAGCTAATGAGTAAAGTAATTTATTCGGCCCACTTATTCAAGTACTACAAACAATCGTAAGCTAAATTGAGAACACATGGAAAGTATAAGCAGCGTGATTACCAGAAAACGCATGGACATGAAAATGGTGATGCATAGCCATCGATGCAACTAAAAGCACAAAAATTATATATTGAGGATAAAAATGGTCAAGGTAGCAAATAATGATAAGCTGTGCAAGTTGTGTGGCTGACGAGGGAGCAGAGTACTTTAAGACAGTGTAGCCAGTTGTGATCTGGTGGCAGTGCTCAGAAGAAGAAGAGGTGAAATTAATTGCTTTACAGTCACATATATACAACGCACGATTCGGTGTCAATTTTCACCCATCAATTAGCTCCCATCAATTCTTACTCACCAATGGCAATTCTATAACAATTCATATCTCACCTTCCAAAACTGTCTCCACTATAACTCCTCATTACGCCGTAGCACACTTTAAAAGGGGGTTTCGGGTATGCTTGACTTATGATTATGAAATTCTTTCATTGGTAAGATGATAAAACCTCAAGCTGATTGTAGCCAGTCATCATCGAGAGAGCCTCACCCTCGTGTCATAGTGCATAGCACAGTATCAAGCCAATTCTGTTAAGTCTATAATACAACCCGACCCAACATTGTTTTTTTTAAAGTCTGGGTTAATTGGTGGGTGAAAATTGACGGGAGCGAATTAACATAGGATGTGGATTGATGGGTGTAAAAGTGCACAGTACCAGATGGGGGTTGAATACTGTGTGGACCTCATAGGCGAGCACACCTACCTTTCTAAGTCATCTGGGCTGATGATTGCGGCGGCGGCAGCGAAATGTCCATAGTCTGACGGCGACGGCCGTCTATTTGAGGTCATTTCAATTGGACCTCTATAACGACCAGATACGAAACCTTCATCGTCACTAGAAAAATTAAATTGCACCATTTAACCAGCATCGTTGCATGCATTCAGACGATCCTCGCACACATACTAACACATATTTATTATTCCAAGTGCCCCCCCACATTCCAGAGTGGCTGTGGGTGTCACCAAATTTTGTATGCGTGCGTATATTTGTTTCTATTTAGATATCAGCCAATACAAATATTTATGTAAATATTACAACAGTTTAGCGAGTCTAAATCAATTTTTGTTAGGGTTCTATTCTTTATAGAGTTCAATAGGCTTATACATTTTGAGCAAAGAAATAGTCAGTAGTTTCGTAAGCGAGTTGCAAGCTAAATTCAGACATATTTTGTAATGCCACATTATTCAAAAAAGCAGTACGATTAAAATATTGCGTATTTTGTGACGTATTTTTTTTGTACAGAAAATATGCAAGTGGTACTGAAAGTAACATTGCGAATGAGTTATTAGACGTAGAGAAAAGTTAGCAAGAACGGTTAAAGTGATGACCACATGATTGGATGTATACCTTTGTGGTGCTGGGGTTGGAGGGGCAGATGCGAAGCGATAAGCGTGTTGTCACATATTGACACGTCGTCGGGAACTGCTTTCACCAGAAAGAAACATCACGGTCACACATCATCCAGCCCAAATATTTACAGTTTTATCATAACAAGGGTTAAACAAATTTTAACCTAAAAAGCTGGGACTATGACACAAGTTTTTTGACAATTAATAAACAATTACTGAACCAAATCTCAGTGTAAGTTAAAGCAAATCCTCGGTTAATCGAAACCAAAGTGACAAAATATTTACCCTCCCAAGTCTCGACGATAATGACGATCTGCTTCAGTCTCTGACATTCGTATATCCTCTGAACCACATGGACTAAGATGGCGATTTCCTGAATGGTGTTCTAATTGGCGGAGTAAATCCTCAAGATTGCGAATCCTGCATACATATTTAAATGGATAAAGTAGTAGTCAATGGTTCTAACTTATTTCCTTCATGAATAAATGCCTACCTGATTGGTCCACCCCCATCGTCATTACTTTCGTCGTCCACCGGCTGCGGAATGCGATCAGAGGAATTCCTGAGTAAGGGAAATTCAGACGAAAAGTCTGGGAATTCAGGGTAGCCGTCGGAAGAAAGCCGGGTTCCACCTTGATTAAAAACTGTTCAAAATTTAGGACTCGAGGTCTTGACCCTCGTCATAAAGATTGACATACAATTGAGAAGAGCATGCATTCATTTCCAAGCCCTGGTATTTATTTATGCGTACCTTGCGGAGGTGGAGTGGCGTTGGCGTCCCCAAGTCCTCTCTGAGCGGCTGCTACCCTCAGTGCTGCCAGGATATCTTCATGGTAGCCGTTCAGAGACTTCAACGTTCGCTCAACCTCACACAGACCCTCATTATTATCTGATTGAGAACCATCTTCCTCAACATACTTTTTCAAAATGCCCCGATTGCCACCAACGCTATTGGGCGAAATACCTAGAAACGCCGAAGTCTCGTCTCCCGTTTCATCGTCTTGAGGATGACCTCCGCCAAGATTCCCCAAATTCTTCATTGACCCCGTCATCCCCATGTTGTGTTGATCCCTAAATCAGTATTTTATAACAACAAACACAATTAAAACCCACTCAGATCATCCGTGCCTCCCGGTCTCATTGTACATATTTATTCATTCTCTCATTTTGGTGCCTCTACATGGGAAGTAGAACACAATAACAACAGAGAAACCACACTGTCAACATTTATCCACTCATCCGTTATTTCCATTTACTCGAGCATAATGAGAGAGACAGAGGAGGAAAGTGGAACAATGGAAGGTCTGCTACTCCATATGACTGCATACAACAAGGGGGAAAGTGAGCAGAGAGAGAGTCCATACATGGACAATCTAGACCCAAGACCACAATATAATAAATACAACAACTTGAACGAGATGACTGTTGCATCGCACTTTTTATGAAATTCCTGGGGAAAGTGTTAATGCAAATGTCACGATAAAATCTAAAGCGGAAGTCCACTGGGTACTGCAAAATAGAGCGAATTGTAACATTGTACACCCGTGCCATGATATAAAAATGTCTAATTTCGAGTTCTATCAGCCTCAAGTGTCGAGTTTCGGCGGTGGTATAAACCTCAAGGATAAATTGCCAGACTAAAACTGCTGCTGGCTGTAACTGCTGTCGTCCGTTCAGCATTCTCCAAATTATGGGAATCCATCTCATCATCCATTGAGCCGAGGTTGTGGATTTAATGTGCAAACAGAAACAGTTCAGCAGCAGGATGAGAAAGTCCTAACCAAACCAATGAGGATGAACAGCATCGGAAGCGGAAAGAAAGCTCGGTCAGATCGATATTGCCACATGCCATGTACACATGGATAGCAAGAGGGGAGCTCACTAAGCACGATGTACAGAGTTCAATTGGGTAGCCTCTGTGTATGTGCATTAAAAAAATACACACCTGCAACATCCATCCTATGGCATTATTGCTTGGGAAAATAAAAGTTATCAAGTTCGGAGGATCCAGCTCACTTTCCTCACTTTCCCATGGGCGAGTTGTAAAAATCCTTCTCTCTGATCTACAAAACCGATTTACCACTTTCTACATACATGCGATGCGAGTACTACGGCTGGCATTGCAGCTTCTGGTGTGCTGTTGAGATTAGAATTGAGTACAGAGCGATCTCCTCCAATTTTATTGGTGTCTTTCATATGCTCCCCATGATGTAGAGAGAGACAGTGAACACTTGTTCTTTCTTAACTGTTACTATCTATTACTCAGGGAGGAATCCATTCCTTAATAAATCACACATATTGCGCTATGTGTCCTCCGATATGGTCCGCAATGTTTCCTGAATTGAGTGCACGTATGTGTGTATCTACATGACTGTCCACCCTACTGAAGTCGAAAAGCTATATCTTCTTCGACTTCCCACCCACCCACACACCCAATAGTAGTCACCCGTGCCTACATGCACTGTCACCCGTGGAGAGAGTGGAGCCCACAGGGGTTTTATAAATTGCATCGTCAGAATCAGTCTCAGAAATATTATTAATCGATTAATTTCCCGTGATTTCATCTTTTGAATGAGTTTGCATCCAATCCATCGGCAATGAATGCTGGTACTCGTGAAAATGAGTCTTATTCATTTTCCCCCAAGTTGAGGACTTTTGAAGTGAAAGGAAAATGAAATATTGATTCCTGTCAGTTTCAAGGGTTATTCATTCCAAATCCTGTTAAGATTGTCTGCGAAAACCTCTTTTCTGGATCCTTTGTGAAGGTGGATCCCAAAATCTCTCTCGCAGGCTCTCCCTCTCTTTCTTCTGGTAGATTTTCGCGTAATAATGTAAGCGTAGAGAAAGTCTCTCTGTGTCTGTGTGTGGACTGTGGACCAGGACTAGGAACCAGCTGAATCGCGTGAAAGATGATGGACCGGATGGGATCCGGAGAAAGTTGCAAAGCTCAACTACTTTTGAATGACATTAGCTCGCTGATCTTACCTACTTTCGACCGAAAAATGGATGCATGGATAAAGAAAGTCGAGAGGACGTGTAAATCTTGAAAACTTACCTATAGGTAGGCAACTGGGTTAAACTTAGTATCCTATTATCAATTTCTTCGTGATTTAATTGGGGAGGCTGAGGTGGCTGATGAGTCGTTGGTTGAGGAGGTTGTGGGAGCTTGAAAGTCTTTGGGTTGAATGGAGGGTATGGAGCCGTCTCGAATTTGGGAGTTGTTGAGCGACGATAGCACAGTGCCATCATAGCAAATAAGATAAATACCCCTCCCACCACAGAGACCATTCCAAACACGAGGATAATTGTGTTTGACCCATCTTCTGGGGAGTTCTTGGTAGTGACCCTGGTGTTGGCTGAGGTCGTGATATTAGTCGAGTTTTCTATCGGAGGCAGGGGTGTGGCTGGTCTTTCCGTGGTTGGGAGCTCTTTTCCTGCCGTGGAACAATCTGAACCCTCCCAAGCGTCGAAACAGTGACAAATGTTGACATTTGAACAGTCGCCATGACCAGAGCATTCGAGTCCTACATGGTTTGACGGACATCTCGTATTGTCCATATAATTTGCAAGTTTGACACAGGTTTGATTCATGCAGATCTAATACGCATTGATTGGTAAACGTTAATTTCGTATTAGAAATATTTCAAAATGTGTGGCACTGGTGATTCTTAAAATAAATTAATACCATTTCTTCCCCACACCGCGTCCCGTCTCGAACCAGTTCCAAATTTGCGGCTGCAGAATCACCCTTCGGGCTATTTAAATTTTTGCACTCGTGTTCTTGTCTATCAAGTGTGAGCACAATCCTAGAAACAGTTGTGCTTGATAAGGTGCTTTGTAGTATGGGGTTTGAAGTCCCATCTTGACATTGAAGAGACCCACACATCATGTTGGATCGAGTGCACTTTAGATATCCGCCATAGACGTCACGACCACAGTGCCCATTATAATGACCACCCATGTTGAATTGCTGGTAGGTTAAATAAAAATGATAGTTATGGTGAGACCTATGTATAATGGATAAGTATTCCTGAGTGTGTGTTACTGGGGAATTTTCTTTGTTGAAGGAAATATCACTTGCAATCAAGTGCAACCTTTCGTCACCTACTAATTATACCAAGTGGTCGCACGAGAGGGAATTTTAGTTTCGAGTCTCGGAAAATCAAGTTTTCAACGCTAAAAATATCTGGTATTCAAAAACTATTATTTTTAATTTTTGAAATGTTAATTCGAAATCTTCGTCGCCATCATGGCAAATATAAAGGTGTTTTAGCTCAGATGATAATGACCATGGTAAAGTGCCATTTCGAATGAGCTTGTGCAGGGTGTGAATTTTTTTATGATGAAATAAATTCACACTATTATGTATCTATCATAATAATGAAGTGAAGGAAATTTCTTACTTGGTAGCATGCGTCATCCGCTTTCCGCCCTGAATAAAGAATTTCAATTAAAGGGGGTATTATCTGCACATTTCGAACGCCCAATGTTCGTTAAGTAATTACCTGCAACGTCCCAAATGTGCTTGCACTGACCGTCCAATGTTGGACAATACCCATTAAAGCAATATCCTTCATTCTTTCCACATTGCGCCCCATTTTTTTTGTAGGTGTTTAATGGCTGAAACCAAGAACAGTGATTCTCAAGCTTTCCATCAAGCTGATTGTTTATTACACACACTCCCGTGGTCACTGTAACAGGTACAAAAAGGGTGATTTACAAAGAAGACTTACACATTCACCACTTTGTCCTGTGCAGTACTCTGGAATGTCGCATTCACTTTGCTTTGGCCGACACACATTGTCCGATCCTTTGAACTGGAAGAACAATGAATCGTTTGTACAATTCGTAATTGTGCTTGGAACTGAAAAAATAAGTGCGTGTAACAAGTTTACCCTGCAGTTCTCGCAGCACGGACCTTTTCAAAAGAAAATAGTATTATACATATGCACGTATATATCAATCACCAGATCAAAATTCTGCAATGACAACTTGATGAAGGGGCAAAGTAGCAGGATGTTAAGTGGTGCAGACCCCAGCGAAAATTTTTATGAGAAAATCTTAGCCATGGGGCAGCATGAAGAGAGGGGCCAAGGATTCCCCTGCCTTGGACATAACACTCCCGTAGGAGTGGATGATATCTCCTTAACAAGTTCGCCATTGCAGAATTCAGACCGCAGGAAAAATAGGAAGCTTACCTCCAGTAGAACACTGAGCTGAGGTTTTGAGCCTACCAAGCAATTTCGTTTAATGTATTTTAATTCAACAACAGCACAACTCAGGATATCCTCAGATATGCGTGTTTACCTACCTGCACACTAATGGTTCGCAACATGGGTCCTTTGCACATTCCTGAAGGGATCCACAATCACCTGAAATAGTTTGAGTGTTAATGTTCATGCTTCGTTCTTTGGTGACTTGCGTCATAGTTAAACTTCAACATTGGCGCAAGTTGCTATAAACTCACTTTAAAACTTAAAAAAGAGTTAAAAATACTTTGCTTACATTCTTCTCCTGGCTCGGTGACTCCGTTTCCACAAGTTTTGTGGATCGGCTACAAGATAAAAACATAATAATTAACAAAAGAGGAAAGTATAAGAAATAAATTGACAATGAAAATTCTCATATTTTTTCGTACGTCAATTCTACCCGGCATATTAATTAGACACATGGCATGACCGGAATTTATGGATGTGAAATATGATTTTCTATCAGAAAAATCATAATTATTAGAAATTACTCCATTTATAAATAAATCTGAAATATTACCTGGAACAGTCTGAAAATCTGTAGTTCATCAAAAATTGATTAGTTTGAGAAAATTGACAGTGGTGGAATTTTTATTTAACGTGTAATTAAGTAATAAAGTTTTGCATATCTATGTAAACCTACCTGTACGGCTGGATTCCATCTTGCCCAACTATCTTCTCACTAAAATAGGATTCATGAATGTTAATATAGCTAAGCCATCTCAATTGATTTTTGCAATTTATGTAACTCTACAATTGTACAATTATTCTTTCCACACACATTTTCTAAATAGTTTAAGGGAGATTACCTCATAATGCACCCGTACCAATTGGGACAATGACATCCATCACCCGAAGCTGTGAACATATGCGTGGCAAATTATCAGTAAATATATCTAAAATAAATCGCGATTAATAAATCTTACCGTCTTGGTCATGTCCCATATTCAAATTATGTCCGATCATATGGGCCAAAGCAACGCCAGTAATATGAGGCCTATTGAAATACAGATAAATATTAGACAAATACCTTGATGCATCTTTAGTAGCATTGAATATGGAGAGAGAATTCATTTTTCGTGAAAATGCTGTCCGTTACTTACTGGTAAATGCTTACATCCGTTATCACTCCCATCGCTTTGGGTGTACAAATGGACCTAGAGGTGAAAACAAGGAGCGTGTATTTATACGCAATTGGTTGATTATCGTGCACACATATCAAGAGTAACATTACATTGGCACACCCATGCCGGACTCGGAAAAATTGATTCCGGAAATCAGCATTGTGGAATCTTTGTTTACGCTGAACAAACTCCGTGGACCTAAAAGTAGAATTAAAGAAGCTCATCCGTTAACAGTTTCTGGTAAAAAAAAATCTCAGTTTCTATTCGATAACTTTCCCCAACCACTCCTACTTCCACATTTGCTACTCATGATGACACTGCTTGGCAAGAAGGATAGTCACTACTAAATGGGCGTATTTCGGTACATTCTTCACTTTTCTGGCTCCATCGTTCTCGAAAAAGAAAGTTTGCCCAAAATTTCTACTTACCGGAATTTCCATGAATAATTCCATAAAACATTGATCGTAAATGTTGAAAAATGTATCGTATTTTTTATCAAGTGCGACTACACCATTATTCTGTACAACGACTACGGTGGTGGCAGGTAAAAGCGGCACCGCACTGATCGGAAATGGGGTTGTGGTATTGGAGAAAGTTTTATACATGGCCCGACTCATTACCATACCATAGTAATCAGTTAGACGAACGAGAGTTTGCCGTAAGTCATCCACTCGATCCACCCCAAGATGATTATTTTGATGCCAAGTTTCCACATACACCACGGAGATGGCCGTATTCAATTTTCGAAAGTACTGTAAACCACAAGGGTAAATACTCAAACAAATAGGTACATAGCACATTCGAAAGGGCAAGGGAATTGGCACAGTAGAATAACACAATTAATGGACATTCAAATCTGCCCAGTCTGATGTGCTAAGTATTTTCACATGCAAATTTTATCGAATCTTTACCAAATCAGCAATGTTGACAATCTGCAGGGCATCATGAATTACTTGAAGACGTGTGGACCCATTTCTTTTGTCGAACTGCATAGTACAAATGAAAAATGAGATGGGGTTTGTACACCTTTTCTCGGAGAAAGTTTTATGCCTATACGTATGTATGTATGCACATAAGTAAGGACATATATAACTGGATGTATAGACTTGACGAGGAGGGAACAGGAACGTGTATGTGCGTGTACTATGCTATGATATCCAACGGTGGTGGTGGTGGTACTTAGACCAAGAGATATTATTATCATCCGACAAAATGGAGGAGAAAAATGGGAGACGACGGCGACGTAGGTGTTGGTTTCTGATCTGCTCTTCACTTACGCCAGACAAGGAAATTGATTGAGTCTTTTGGGGGAGTGTTGGAGAAAACTGCTTCGAGCTCATGACATGAAGACATTTCATTCTCATAATGAAGCAGATGAGGCAGAACGAAAAAATAAGGAGCCCTACCTAGAATTCTGGTGTAATGCGGATATCCATGGAAGGAGGAGGAGGAGGAGGCGAGAGGGAGTAAATTAATTGCTGCAATGTCCTACCACTTACGATGATACATACGAGTTGTACCCATACTCATACATTAGCATGCATACTAATCCTAAGATACGACGACTCTCACCATAGCTCGATCCAACAGAATGGCCAATTCAATGAAGTACTGGGGCTGGGGTCCTTTGTCCTCGCCTCGACGAACTACATAATCGCTACTACCGCCGACTAATCCTGAGGGCATGTTCCATTCAAACCCTCGCTTATTTCCACACGTCTGTCGACCAACGGATTTTGCTTCGAACACGATGTGAGGGTGGTTGTTCTGTTGGAATTTAGCGATAAAATGGGGTGAAAGTCACGCTTTTAATTTATCCACTATCGCACAAGCACATACTCATGGTTCTGACGGGTGACAGCAATTTCAAAAGGTAACCTCTCAAACCTCTCTAACCTGTCAAACCTCTTTTATCGCTCAAATGAAAAAATTACTATATTCAAAATGGGAACAAAAATGCTTGACTTGAAGCAAAATGGATTGAGTGTGTGTCACTTCAAAATGCCAATAAGTCTCTCGTCCTTAAAATAGCAAGCTGTGCATGGATTCAAAACTTGATGGATGAGAAAGTGGGCCAGAGAAAATTTGGTTGAGCGTTGACTTTAATAACAGTTGTTTAAATTCCTTGTATAAATTCGACAAAGCCTTTTTAGATTAATTAGCAGCTGAAAACAAGTTAATGCAAATAACTTAAATTCCTATTTTACTATGCAATTTCTCCAGAAATTTGAGACTGTGGTTCTACAGTGGTTACGACGACGCAAAGCAAACCAGATTTTGCGTTGGGAATAATAAACTGAATCTCTTGTGAGCAATAAGGATGCAAATTTGAGTGGGTGAATGGCATTCAAAGGAAATTACTCGTACCCACTGCCATTTAATATCACTGATCACTTGTGATCATTCATTGTCATAAATAAACTTCTTGTTAATGGAGTTGCACTTTGTCGCGTTGAAATGCATCATTCTATATTTGTAGCTTTCGATTACATCCTAAAATGGGCGTTTTAGTTGGATTGTGTGAAATGGCTTCTGTATTTCACGTTTAGAGAGAAAGCGAAGAAAATCTTTAATGCGCTGAGCATGGCCGACTTTCCCTTGAGTGCATTCCACTAAATGAGATGGAATCAGTGGAAAGAAAAAAAACGATAAATTGCACGCAAGCAAACAGGAGATGAATCGTTGTCGTTGAGAAAATAATAGTAATAAATTGTTGAATTAACACGAGCGTTTCTGATGAATGAGATTGCTTACGGAAAGGTCTCCACCGTAAAAGGGATGAATGATAAACGTTTCATTCCTACGAGAATCAAATAGAATAAAATCAACTTATTACTGAAATTTCCGAGATTTTTCATCTGGTGGGACATAAAATTTCATACACTTCAATAAAACATCACAAAATGTCGTACGTACCCCATATGAATTATTCCGGACAGTCCATTGCACGTTCGGACGGCCGCTGCTGACCACTCCAGTCCCTCAACGTTCCCGTGATAATAACACATTTCCAACTCATTTCTCTCCCTTTGTTCAGCTGTATTATGGAAATAAACCAATGTATTTATTCTGTATTCAATGTAAATGTAGTGAATAGAGTACTTGCCTGCTCCAGAAAATATATGTTTTTGTAACACATTTGGTGCAATTAATGGCGTGTTGAGCTCCAGAATCAGCCGGAATTTGTGATTAAACGCTTGGATTATAAAACTGGTTCTATGATAATGTTTTCCCGTCTGCAAGAAGAGTAAAACATGCGACACTTTAGTTATGTGGAATTATTTTGCGACAGAAAATGTATAAATAAATGGACACATTATAAAGTGCATCCCATTATTCCTTTGACCATCCTGACAAGCACCATTTAAATTGTATGTATGTATTCAGTCTACAATTTTGCTTGAGATGCAATTCACTGATGCATCCTTCCTTTCTCGCTATGAAGAACGACGGCGTTGTCGACTGTTTTATTACAGTCTCATGCAATTTACCAAATTCACTCACAATGATTAAAGATCCAGCAAAACGACAATAAGTTGCTTAGTTCTGTAGCAGTAGTTGCTAGCGGAGCGCATGAAAGCATAAGAACAAAGTTCCTATCTCTATGATGGAACTGTTTATTCTCAACTCTCATCTTGGACCAACTAGTCGGCCATTTTACCGTGATGATCTGCCAGGTAGTTGCTCTATGCCCCACAGCATGATGGTATACATAGGTAGGACATTTTCCTCGTTTTTGTTTCTCGCCAGAAGACCAAGACATTTCACTTGCTAGAGCGAGAATCTAAATTATACCAAGCAGAAAATACAACAGGGAGGAAAATAAATGCTTAGAAGCCATTAGCGAGGAAGTGAAATTCATTAAAGATCACAAAGACGGGAGCAAGAAAGGAATAAACTAAATCAGACGTGGGGAAGGAAACAGGAGGTAAATAAACGACATTTTAGAGACTTTCCTGCTGCATTACAGTGCCACTTTCCCTATAGCGTTCCTCACCTTCCGAATTTAGAAGTCTTTCCAAACAAGGAATAAATAAAAGCAGAGAGAAAGCGGTTGTTTGGAAGAGAAGAGAGGGGAAAATTGTTCAATTTCAGTTCTATTAATTAATAAATAACAAAAAGTTATTTTTCGAGTTTACGACTAAACTATTGGCCATCACGATGTAATACGATGTAATACAGCACGTTATTATGCACGTGACTGTGTGTGAAGAGCTACATAAATATGTATGAACAATCAAAAATAACAACTTATTGCTTGTGTATATTTCAAATGGTATCTGACTGGATGTTATATTGTACCTCGTCCTATTTTCATTACCAATCCATCGCTCTCTATTCCATGTTATGGCAAATCGAATCATGCGAATCAATAAAACTCAACTGCCTGAGCGCAAAGAGATTTCTTCTCACGGGGGGAGGGGAAGTTAAAAGTGAAAGGAAGGAATTTGTCGTCCACAGCAGCGAGTAAAGCAAAGCAAAAAGCAGTGTTACATCATGCATCTCCTAAGCAATATCGAAATCTCATCCTCTTATCTCGGTTTCCAATGAAATAGTAGCGACATAGGAAGAGAACATAAATGTTATGATTTTCTCCATTTTCACAGCAAATGGATTTTCTTGTGAACTGCTGCACTTGATATTTTCTATTTGATTCAGATTCAACGCTCCTCCTCAAACGTTGTCAACATCATCGATGGGAAGCGAAATGCCGAGAGAAGAGAGAGAGAGCTCGCAGAGTAATATGTACAGAGTTTACGTTACTGAGGAATGGTAGGCATGCGACAGGATACATTGCCTGGTGAGGATAATGTTACTTATCTAAATCTATAAAAAATCCTGGGTATGGTTTGGTTGGGTGCCCAGACGTGGCGGAGGAGCCAATGCCAGCGTTGGGAAAGTTTATGGACACATTCTATAGAAATTTACGATCTGGCAAAGCCATTTTCCATTTTCTTCTGTTACGTGCCATAGGGACAAGAAAGATCACGAGATACTTGTGTTCAAGGGGCTTCTAATCGGAAAAAGTGTGTTCCTGCAGATTTCTACAAATCAATCATTTTTCCTGTATCGTCTTCACTGATTTCCGCTCATGATGACTCAAAATGGTCTTCAATGATGTTCCATATCTTCACACCACCATCTTGGAAAATCATCAACATTCTGACACTCGACTCATCTCATGACCACGCCACCCCAGTGCCTACCCGTCCATGAGTGCAGCGACAAAATGGAGAATGGCAAAACTGATTGAAGGGATGTTTTCGAATGCATAGAAATATTTGATCTCATCTACGCGTTCATTTCACATTTGAGATGCGTATGTACATACATACTAACAACATCTGAAAGTCTACAATATATGAAATCTTTGGGTGAAATGCTAGTTAATCCATCGATAGAAAGTCATTTCGTGTATGCGAAATGTAATTTTTCTTGAATTTGTCCCTCTCAATTTGTACATGTCTCTGCCAGGAAATTTCGAGCAGAACGTACAATTTGTATAGAATATTATATTTGCATGAATTAGTTTAAGTCGGATTGAATTTAGTGCACAATTTCATTTCTACTTTCTTTGAGTTCAATTTTTATTTTATGTGATCTAAATTAGATTTGAACTTCAGCATAATAAGATTCATTAGGTGTCAAAGAAAAGGTTAAATTGCAGAGGATATGGCGTTTGGCACATAGGTGAGGAGCAAGAAAGACATGAAATATGCTAATGAAGTTGTCGCTTCAGGTACTACCGGAGTTGCGAGTATGTATGTAGAGAAGAAGAAGTCGTTATGCAAGAAAATAGATTGAAAAAGTTCACAGGCAGGCTGACTGATGGTTGGTCGGATGTCTCCTCAGGAGTGTGAGTGTCAATTTGGTGGTTGACTTGACTTCAGGTTGAGCTTTCTCCGTGTTAGTTACCTCGTCGTCGTCATCTCTCTGCTAGTTGGTCCATGCTGACTTTTGACATTTTTGGCTAACTTTTCAAGAAACCAACACATACATATTTTTATGAATGCATGGGTATATATGGCGAGCTTGTGATGAGAAAGGCACCTCAAATTCTCATTTTTCCCACCCGGATTATATGTTATTTCTGTCAGCCAGTCGTCCTCGTCCTGCATCTACATATCTATGGATTGGATACCGAAGCACCCTCCGGTTTTCCGTCTTGATCGATTTATTCGTTCTACTTCCGAATCAAGTATCGTGAAAATTCCTTTAAAAATCGTTTTTAACTGGAGAGCTTGATAAATACGAATACCGAGACCGCCTCAAACACTTCTTCTGAATAATAGAAAAATGTGCACTTTTGTCCAAGATGCTTATATATGCTTTTATTTGCACAATTTGTTTGCATGTTTATTTTTGTTTGCCAGCTACTAAAAGTTTAATCTGAAAGTATGTTTGTCCTACCGAATTCTAAAATACGAATCAAGCATTTGTATTTTTACCTCAACTGGTGTGTTGTCAATTCGAATGCTGCCTGTGGTTTGGGGAGAGATATGAAGTTTGAGGTTATGTCGAGTCGGTGTATTACAAGTTTTGTTTGAAACTAAACTTGATATAGAGATTTGACATGTTTTATAACCACATGAGGTTTTAATAGTTCACATAGCTGTCCTCATCAGTCATTGTTTCAAAAACGAGCTGGCATAAAAACAGAGTGAGTCTAAAATTTGTCACCTTCAAAATGTCATAATCAGCTGACATGGCTCTAGTTGATTTCCACATTTGGTATGCGAAATATTAACGTGTTTATTTTTGTAAGTTTTTCAGAAATTGCATGTGGTCGACACATATTCAACGTTGCGCCTAGCTCGAAGTATTGTATGGCTGTACAAAATATTGACAAAACATTGGTGTACAAGCAAGCAACAGCGTTTCTGCCCAAAAAGTTAGCGGGAGGGCGACGCAAAGCAATAGGATTTCTTTTCTCTGTAGACTGGTCGTAGTTCGAACTAGGAACAGTAAGTCCGGCCCTGAATTAACCGATCCGGTTGATAAGATCGGATACCTTATGATAATTTTAGGATTGGTTCCCAATCCTATGCGATTATATCCTTCCGAGATTCACTTGGCATTCATATGTATAACAAAACTCGTCCTACTACTACACTGTGGGCCACCGGTATGGTACGGGCAAAGGGAAGGGGGGTAACGAGTCCATCGCCCATTCAGTTACCAAGAAATTCCTCACCTACGAAAAACTTTGAACTCAAATATCTCAAAATGGAGCAGACGAAATGACCTAGTTGCAAAAGCAAAGATAAACTAGATTTTTGGCTCTATGTTTGGTAACGGAATCTCGTAACTCCCCCCTCCCTTTGTCCATACCGCCACACAGAGGCCCCACAATGTACTGCGGTTCTCTATCACTCTGGCCATCATATGTCTCAATTTATATTCAACTGTCTCAACTATCTCAATCTTCAATATTATGCTCGGCAGAAGACCACAATGAGAACCACAGCCATCCCGAACAGTCAGGTTTTGCTTCTAATGTCACTTCCATTCAGTATTGCTTAAGATTATTGGAATAATCCGTCAAGGGATTAAATCATACAAGTTAAATTATTGTATTAATGCTGACATTTGCATGTCTTGCTGACGTTTAATTTTGCTCGAGTGACTGTGTGATATGACATGTCCCGTTGGAACGAATGTATAACATTAGTAACAAGATATGTACGTATGTATGCATCAATAGTGCGTCTTAAAAAAGTACAAGGAAATTATACGTACCCTGCCAAGTTGCTGAGTTGCCTGCATTCCTTGCGGTTGTGATCGTTGCGACTTACTGTTTCCTTCCCTGGTTGACAATCTGTGGAAACAATGCCCAAATAGTGATAATATTTTCATGTTCCCAATTAGCATTTCTGTAAGAATGTACGTAAAATATAAGTAAGTTACCCCAGATATTGATGGTGACGGAGTTGAACTACATTCACGATCTGATAATAATCCGATCCAATGCTTCGAATCAGTTCCCGATTCACTGGGTAGTCGTTTATGAGCCTCTGGTACTCTCCTGAAATATTGAAATTATGAATTCAATGTGATGCCTCATATGACTACACTAAAGCGTCCAATTTATTTGAAATGCTGGGTTATTTTTCAGGCTTAGGCTTGACTGTGAGTTCAAAAAAATATACATTCTTAAAACCTTAGTTAGTGAAACTACCAGTAATACTGAATTAAATGCCATGATGCCAACTGAAATCTCGGATTGGATCAATCCGATCAAATTGGATCAATTGGTACTCTCCAGTCACCAATCACCATGCAATCAGCATTTTTGGCTTCAACCTTGCGACACCAGATTAATTATCAATCAGCTTCCTGTAATTTAGGTCCCCTTTGAAGATGAGCACATTATTATGCTGGAACATTGTGGAATCGGTAAACATTTCACCAAAAGGGGGAGGACGAGAGTGGAATTAAAAAATCAATGCATTCTCAATTTGCCTCGGGTGTTACACCAATATGTAACGTAAATCTTTTATAAATGTACCAAGTGTGATTGGCCAGTTTGTTCTAGCAGTGTGAAAGTGAGATCGATCGATCCTGTGGATGCTATCCAGGTAAATCGTTGAATAAACACGTCCGTTTACGAGTAATGAGATGAAGTCTCGTAATTAAAGTGGAAATACACAGGTCAAGTAGGGTTAAGAGTAAAAATGCAATTAATTAATGGGCGAAAAAGTATGCATAAATAATAAATAACATGAGAAGTCAAATTTGACGAGACGATGTCTATATTTAAACGTTTATACGATGCAGCCCGATTTTTTAAGCATAGCCCCGGGGTAGTAACCCCCTTTCAAATGCAGGAAAGGGATTGTCGAATCGACCGTATTTGGCACCTGGTTAATTTCGACAGCTTCACAATCTCAACACATCGTAACCGTGAGATTTTACTAATTTTAGTACGCTTCAGTGCTCCATTATTATTTATTCAAGTACAAAATAAGTAAAATTTTGCACTTGAATACACTTATTCATCAGTATTTGTAGACACATATTTATACGCCAGTAACAATCGGAAGGATAATAAAGGAACAAGTTATTTGTTTGTCTCAAAAACACGAATTATAATGTTGAAACTACTATTGCAGTGCTTCTGCTAGTGTTCCGTTTGTATCGGATCTTACAAAGGCTGCTGTACATATGTATCACTTGAAAGGTTTGTTTGACTAGGGAACCGAAATTGGTAATAATTATTCATAATTACATCTAAAAACAACAAGCATGCTATACATAGTTTTTCGTCTCATTTTGACGTCGTCGTCTGGTTTTGACGTCTGTTTTATTAAGAAAAAGCACGTTTTTCCTGCTGGTTATGTGTATTGTATCACACGACTACTTTTGATACGTTTCCGAAAATATATACGTATGATCAAACTCAAGCGCGTCACGGCTATTTGGTTATTATCAAGAGGGAATGGCCTATGCAATTGGGAGCATTTTTCGAAATGCAAGATTGCCGTTGGGACAGCAGGTAAGCACGTCGATACTAGAGTCAAGGAAGATTGTTTTATTGTGCAGTTTCATATTTAAATAACTAAACGGATAACCGGCGATTCTAAAATCTCTGGTACTCTCCTACAATTAATCATCACGACCATAGAGTATTAGTGCTTGAATGCGTATACCCCTGAAAAAGAAGAAGACATGAAATAACTTTTCAGCAGAAGAGAAGACGGATGTTTAACGTTTGATTTGGCTGCATTCCCACTTCATACTGGTTACGAGACCATGCTTTCCCCGTGCTTTCATTGGAAATTCTGAGGCACCGTCCTCAGAACACTTCGCCCATTTCAATGGGAGCACAAAAAAGTATAAAAAAAAGTGAACTACAAGCAAACAATATGTAACGCCTACCAATAGTCAAAAAGCAAAGTACCCGGTTCCCTTTGTTGTTGGGAAAGTGCTTGAGAATAAATTGTAGCTTTTGGCTGACAAGATTCTTATTTTATATTTTCTCTTTTGTATGACACGACTCTGCACAAAACATCTGTGCATGATAAGCCCTCTCACTGTGCTTCCACTCTGCGTCCTCTCTCAACCTCTGCCCCATTGTCAATTTCAAGGCTCTTTCTCGTATTCCATTTCCACAAAATGCGAAATATTCCTGCTGAGACTATTTCAGCCATTTTGCATGCCACAATAGCAGAGAAAGCAATTTAGCTCATCCTAATCGAAAGACGTCATACATGCCGGATTATGTGCATCGTTGAGGAACTCTTCAAGAAATTCTGAACCAAATATCTCCTCCTCAAACGAAGAGAGAAACAGCAGGTGCAGGTGCAAACAGTTGTTGGTTAGGTGTTTCATTAGTATCACGTCGATGTATATGCATGTGGGCCACAGAACATCAACACACTTCAACAAGCAGCAACTTTCTCGTCCACATTCTCCTCATCGCTGCTTAACTTGCTGTGCGCATCCACTCTCTAATAACGAGTAACAAATCAGGCTCGGCCCACGTAATTCCAATTAAAACAGTTTAAAATGGATATTGATTTTACACTTGACTTTCTCCGTAAAAGAGAAAGGGCGATGGCTCGATGGCTGCTTTCTACTGCCGAACCTAATGTTTTTTTAGTATACGTAAGTACACATATACTCGTATAAATAGTATATGTAGCATAAGATATGTATTTATAAGCAATCCGTTTGCTTGTATCATCAGCATACTATCGATTTTTGGCTCAAATGAAAGTCCAACTTGATATTACATGAGCAATCAGGATCAGAAGAGGCTTGGATTTGGGTGAAAAAATCCATCCATCATGGTTGTTTATATTCGGATAAAGAGATTGCATCCCAGCAGTGGGGCTTCATATATAAAAATTATATGTATGAAAAACTAAGAAAAAACAAGAAGTTGAAGAAGAGAGAGAGAAGTTGTGGCACTTGAATATTCAAGTCACTAGCCATGGGATCCAATAAGCACGGGCTTTCTTCGTATTTGCTTAAGTTGACCCTTTTGCTAGGCCCCAGAATATGAATGCATGCACATATAGGATAAACTCGTAGACTGTTTATTCAATTTTTGAAAGAAAAATATGGAGGCAGAAATCCAAAACACCTTCAAGACTCGCCAGAAAATAAGTAAAACTAAGGAGTTTGCTTAGTGTGAGCCAAGAAAGAGAAAGTTTTGGAGTATGGTTTACATCTGCTTAGCAAAATTTACAACACATTATATGCTTTTATATTCCTCGCATTACATGTTCAAGCTCAAGGAGCGTTCTGGAGTTTAGGTTTGCTGAGTGCTCCGCAGCGATTTCCTTCAGAATAGAAAGACGAAACTAATTTTGCATTACAAATCCTATTCTAGAATTTCCAAGAAACTTGACGCGAGAATAAACTTCTCCCGAGACCAGCGTTAAGATCTACATGCTAAGAGTTCTCTCTCCCTGCCTCCTCCAACTCCCGTCCGTGTCATGATAGAATAAAGAGAATTTGTTTAAACACAAGCGTGTCTAAGAATGGTCAAACGTGAAATATTATCATCCATTCTGATCCAACATGAAATGAAGAAGCACAAGCACAATGGAAAATATTGCAAAGGTCCCTAATGTAGCGCAGACAGAGACAAAATGTGATTTTGTAATTTAACAAATCTGCGAATTGCGTGCGTCCACATTACTCATAACTACGTACGTACTGCTCCGTGATGCGCTTCTCCGACTGCCTGAGCCAAACTAATTATGTCGCTTGCTCTTCCATTATTCATTCGGTTTGTTTGTTTGTTTGCATGAACCCTGAAATATTTAATGTCCGTTGTCTCAAAACTGAGGAGTGGACTCTATTTCTCCATTCCTCTCTACTAAACAATATACATGCATTATTCTCTAATTCTTAATTACTCACTTCAATCTATTCTGTAGTACACATTACCTCGTGTACACATTGGAGTGATTTAATTTATGATCCAAGTTTGCATGCCCGCAGCATTTTATAAATTTGCCAGATTAGACTAAACTCTAATCAAATAAAAGTTATGGGCCACTTGGTAGGAAATGCTCATGAGCCAATGCAGCGTTCCAGTTTACGAACCAAAATTTACAACTTATCCTCATTTAGAGAGCAATGTGAAAAGGAAAATAAAATTTGTACGACTATATTAGTTCAAATATAGAATTGAGACTGTCTATATGGGAATAGGGTCACATGAAATAAAGCCAAAAAAGTTCACGTATGTAGTAAAGAAAATGCTGGTATTATTGAAACTGAAGTCAACCGTGTATGTAAAAGTATTCCTCTTCTGGCATCTGGTGGGGGGAATGTCATCGGGTAGAACCGTGACCATAAAATATTTATTACTTTCACCATATGAAATTATGTATCCGGACAAAGATCCACTTTATCTGCCGCCAGACACCGGCAGAAAATACCTTTGGCTAAAAATGCCAACTTTACCAAGACAGTGGAACAGGGGACAATTCGTGACAATGCTCATTATTATAGGACTCGCGTATATACAGCTACACATGCATGTGTCATGTGTAGATATGTAGGTATAGTTGGATAGGTTGAATCGCATGGACACATCGTGGAGACATTGGGAGGCTGAGATCAACGTGATATGCATGAAGAGACAGAGAGAGAAATGGAAAAGTCATCCGAATTGTAGAATCTGGCCATTCATGCACAAAGATCGGGTTCCTTCTGCTGTCCTGTCTTCCTCAGGCTGTGAAAAATAACCAGGTCCTGGTTCTGGTGAACACTCGGAAAATATTCAAACTCGGCATCATAAAATTTCCGAGTTTCACATCCCCACATGCATTACCCATACATACATATTTGGTACATATTTATGTAGTGCATATGTACATAATGCTGATTTAATGCAAAGTTATTATTAGCACATGTATAAAGCAGTATGCTATTTATTAGAGACTTTTATTTGATAATTAATACTACAACAAACAAATCCATCCAGTTAACAAATTAGCAAAAAGGACCACAATTTGTAGTCCTTCACGGATTAGAAAAAAGACGAGTCTGCTGGATGTGATGCCA